TTATGGTAACACCAAGTAGCAATAGCAAAACCTTTAGCAATACAAGGACCTCTGAGATAAGCTGTTGTGTGACTGCTGGCATGAACAGCAGTGATATGACTTCACAAAGCATCTAATTTTTTAATTCATCAAGCAATTTCCACAAGAAATTACCGTCATGAAGCTCCTTCCGTAGTTTCTCCGCATCCTCCTGCAAGACGGACTTCTGCGTGTTCAGCACAGCGACATACATCTCCAGGTCCGTACGACACGACTTCTCAGCCTCCAGAACGTGATTGAGCTCCTTGACCTGTGAAAGACAACGAGAAAAATAATTTATACGATTGAGAGCACATAAACAAATCCTGGAATATAAACAGGAGCTGAGAGTCTAATAATCTAAGGTTACAACAATTTTAGCTGAACACCAGAAATCAGCTAAAAAGTTACTTACATGAAGTCTCAAAACTTGACTACTTAACGTGATTTATCAAGAAACTGTGCCTCATTTTTTATTTGTTTTAATCCTTTGTTATATTTTATTCGTGATTATGTTTCTTCATTAATCTGTGGGTTCGTTTATGTAATCTTCTCTGTAAAGCACTCTGAATTACCAAATTGACATAAATGTGAATTCACTCAGCTCCATGATGACGGTCCGTTTTGTCAGAACAAATTCAAATCTACAAACTGAAGTTACTGTTGTCAGCGGACATATGCAGCAGATATGGAGCTTCATTTCTTCAACTGGGTGAGAAACGTGTTGGTTTTTCAGCATTCTCACCCCCCTTTCAAACACTTTCGAAAGCTATAGGGATTTTTCTTTTTTCTTTTTTTGTCCTGAATCAGTAACTTCTGTTCCCTGAATTTCTGTGACAGATGTGAGAAGAGTAAAGCTAGGATGAGCCACAGAGACACAACAGCTGCATCAACGGGAGGCAACACAGGCTCAAATAAACTGGAATTACATCGTCCGGCCATAAGAAGCTGAAATACTCCATAGACTCAGTGGAAACTGCAGAGCCAGTGATAAGTAAGAGCACAGCAGTCATACAGCAACCACAGCCAAGCCTGTGTATGAAAATTTCAACTGGCAGTTGTTGGGGGTTTTTTTTTCCACACCTTTGACTGCTGAGTACTTATTAAATTTCATTTCTCTTTTTGCTACTGTACACTAAATAAAAATCTCACTTTCTATGTGAGTGCAAATTAGGGACCCTCCAAGGTAAAAACGAAAGAAAACACTAATCAAAATCCATTAGTCTGAAAACACTGAGAAAAGACGAGGTCAAACACTGCCCACATAAAAATTAGCCATTGAGACAATTAAACAGTATTTTAAATGTCGCTGAAATTTGTGATGCCATGTATACGATAGCACACACGCACACAGTCCATTACTGTTTTTTATATAAAAATAATAATAGTTTGGCCTAGGGTAGTCAACATTAGCAGTGCTAGCAGCAGCAGTAGCCTTCCTTCCTTGTATATTAGCGTCCACACATCTGTGCTTTATGGATAATGCATGTTATGCATCACTCCGGTCGAGCAGTTACAGCTGACCTACACCCACTCACGACCTACATCACTTTACTGCAGCACCGCCCAGATTTGCACAGCTGTCTTTCACGCCTCAGGTTTAAAGTATGAATGATTCTTTTAACCACAAAGTATTTCTATTGCCGACTAGTGAAAACAAAAACGCTCAATCGATTAATCAACTGGCCAATATTGAAAACAGTGAAGAGCACCCTCAATACTGAATACTGAAGATAAACTGGTTTAAAAAGCAAGCTGTGCTTATGACATAATGAGCCATTTCAAATTAAATTCACTTACAGAGTGCTTAATAAGAGGCCCAGCTAAGCACATGCAGAGTTTACTTAAAGCAACAATTATCTGTTATCTTACCAAACCAAAGTCTGTGCTTTTTTTCCCCCCAAAAGTTATTTAAAAATTATTTCACAGATTAAAAATAAACAGTTATTAATGTCTTTATTACAATTTTTGTGATTCTCCCCTTTATGGGGGACTGAAACCTATTTAAATAAAAACAAAAAACCGAAACAAAACGCAAAAGCATCAATTTCTTTCTGACTAACCTTCGAGGCCTCCAACTCCTTCACCTTCTCCTCGGCTGTGGCCAGTTTGGCCTTCAGGGCTGCGATCTCGTGCTCCATAGGCATCACTACTGAACGCAGCTTCTCTGCATCCTCCTGGGCCTTCAAAGTAATTTGCATAAGATAATTAGAAATGTGCACACATGGAAACATCTGGAAACATTATTTCCTTTAAACAGCAGATCATTAATTAGATCTGTAGATGTAGATGATAAAAAAAAAAGAACCAGAGATGGAGTGTTGAGAGGCTGGATGATTATTTTTTTTAGTTTTTTTTGTTGTTATTTTGATACATTTTCGTTCAATTTGGTAAATCATGAACCTGAAAATCATCAAAGCATCTCATAAAAAGAGCTGCCAGTCAGTAAATGACAAACAAACCAACTTTAAAACATGCACTTTCCCCACTCTGGTCTTCTAATGGCATATTGTTTTTATTAAGCTTTTTATTTAACCAGGATAATAAGAGTCTGGAGATTAAAAATCTGTTTCCTAAGACTGTACAAATCCACAGTAGTTTCACAGACACTTAACACACACACAAATGCACAAAACAATATAGAAAAAATACCCAATCAACAGGAAATACAAAGTACAACACCTAAATTCATGAACTTCAATGCAAAAAAAGCCTAAAACATCAGCTTATTTGTATCACGCTAAAGAACACAGGAAAACATACCTGCCTCCAGGTCATTTAAAATTAGCTTTAATTTGTTCCAATAGATCAGCTCCTTGAGTTTTATCTATTTTCAGCTCTTCAGCTTTTAGACATTTAAGGGCTCAAAGCAAATGTGTCCATAATCTGATTAATAATCTGATCCAACCAGATGATCAACAATTCAAACATTTGCATGTTCCTGCATCTATGTGCTCCTCAGATGATCACGACTCCCAAGTTGGGATGTTATTCCTCTGAAGTCACAAAGATTTGTTGATTAATTTGGACATTACAAATATGATAACATATATTTTAATGTTAAAAAAAAGATTTGAAACACATTCATTTGCACAGTTAACCAAAATCTTGTTACAATAAATGAAGAATTATTACCAACTCTTCACCTCAATGACTGAACTCACATCACTGGGAGATATTTATCAGATTTCACAGCTTCCTCTGCAACTACAAATGGCTTAATAAAACTTCTTCTCATTTTAAATCACAACAGCAGCACAGATCTTGATTACAGAGCTCTTCTTAAAAATGTTTC